TTCAGCCAGTTTGGGGCTGTTGTGGGCAGGGGAAGGCTGAGTGAGGGTGGAGGAAGGCCTGCCCCTCCCAGGTCACTCTGCTGGGGCCCTGCCCAAGGCCAGCCCATCTCTGCCTCTCTCCCTACCCTCTGTCTGCCAGACGTGATTCCTCGATGCACCCATTTCTAGGAGGAGAGCAGTGGCTGAGAAACACGGTCTGGGTTCGAGGGCCGGCTCTGCCCTCCTAGCTCTGATCCTGGCAGCACCAGCCCTGCTAAGTCCAGCTCCCTGCCCCACTGTGGGAGGGAAGATGGGTGTATTCCGGAAAGAGGTCACGATGTGCCCCTCCCACTCTCTCAGCCAGACAAGGCCACACTGCTGGACACCTCAGACCCAGCCAGGGGACATCGCTTACCATGCTCCTGTCACCACCGGGCCAACTGCTAGGTGGGAGGGGCCTGGGTCAAGGCAGGGGGCCAACAGCTCACTCTCATCACCCCTGGTTCCATGGAGGATCAGGTTCTTCAGGGTCCCTCCAATTCTGCCTGTGGGCAAGGGGGCAACAGGGAAGGCCCTGCGGGCTGGGCCTTGGGCTGATTTCTGTTTTGCAAAGACTTGTCTGGGTAGTATGCTGAAATGAGCTCCTCGGGGAGGAAGGGCAGGGAGGCAGGGAGGCAGGGGGCGTTACCCAGCTAGAACAGCAAGACATGGAGGTGGGGAGCAGGGGCCGGATTCTGGAGATATTCTGGAGGCAGATCCTGCGGCTTCCCTGAAGACTGAGTGTGGGGTGTAAGAGAAAGATGGCGTGGGGTGCAGCTGGTGAAGGTTAAGGCAGCTGGATCCCATGTGGCCAGCTGTGTGGTTGGAGTCCCACACCCAGTGGTGGGCATGTATGCGTGTGCCCAAAATCCCCAGAGACAATGGAGGATGGAGAAGGGACCATGACATGGCAGGGGTGATTTCTCACTTTCCCTCTCTGTCTCCAGTGAGCTTGCGCACCTATAACAAACTTTTTACAGAGAAAGATGAGAGGGGGCCCAGGATGACTGAAGTTTTTGGCTTGAGCACCTGGAAGGACAGCGAGTGGGGAGTGGTGGGGAAAGGAACGGTCCCTCCAGGAGCCCGACTGGCGTCCGGGACGGGTAAGGACAGTCCAGCTCTCAGACTGGCTGCTGAGGCAGGCACACCATACCTGAGCAAGGGACAGGACCCATGGGGTGGTCTATAAACCTTCCACCTTGGGGATTAGGGACATGGCAAATTCGCAAATTTGCTCTCAGCCCAGAAAACCTTTGCTCAAGCAAAGCCCCACATAGAACCCCGTGTGCAGAGCCGAAAGGGCAGAGGCTTCCAGGTGGAGGAGTCCATGCCAATCACCCAGAGCCATCGCTTCCTGGGGAGGAGGATGAGTGGAGGTCTGAATCCAGAACCCCTCCCTGACTTCCAGCCCAGGGCTCTGGGCTGAGCGGAGGGGACAGGAGGGACCAGCGATGGCTGGTGGGCTGCAGCAGCAAGGAGAAAAGGTGCAGGGAATGACAGACAACGTTTCCTGGGTGACCCGCACGTTGCCAGGCATCTTCCCAGGACGAGATAATCTCTCCTGAGAAGAGGAAAGAATTCTAATTACATCTCAGGACGATATTTGTTTGGGGAGACGAGAGACAGAACATATGGTGGGGAGAGGCGCTGGGCCGCAGTAAGTGGGATTTGTTTTCTCATGTACCTGGCGGGTTGGCGATGGGGCGGGCTCCTGCTGGGCCAGGAATCTGCTGCCTGGAATCTTACCGCCTGGCATCCCAGGGCCCTCAGAGGACAGAGATGCCCCACCCGGTCAGCCTAGCCAGAGCGGCTCCTCCGTGCCAGGAATGGTGCCTCGTGATCCCCACGTCCCTGTACTCACGGACTGCCACAGGCAGTGACCGCAGTGGACACAGACAGGATCGGGGGGCAGGTCATCAAGGAAGGCCTCTCAGAGGGGGTGACCTTTGAGCTGAGCTACCGCTGATCTGCAGGAGCCAGATGGGCAAAGAGGAGCCTGGAAAAGCATAGTCCAGGCAGCCAGGACTAGGGCAAGGTGGGAAGTCGAGGTATGTCCACGGGACAGAGAGGAGACCAGGGGCAGGTGGGCTGACTCCCCCACCTGGTGAGCCCAGGGGAGGAGTCAGAGGTTTATCCACAGGAGGGTTCTTAGCAGGGGAGGGGCCAGGACTGATCTGGTTTTACAGAGATGGTCACTGACCCGCTTGTATTGGGCTGGGAGGGAAACTGAGTAGGCGTGACCAGAGGAGCCTGGAAGAATTGATGAAAACAGCAGCCTCCTCCCTGGCCTGCCTCCAGCCCAGCCCTCCTCTGACACCCTGCGTGCAGTGCCCACGTGCCCCTGGGCTCTGGGACAGAGGCCCAGCTCTTGGTGTGGCATTTAGGGCCCGAGACCTATTTCTCATCTGTGTCTCCTGCACCTGCCACACCCAGCCTCACTGCGCTTCTCAGGGGACCACCTGCGGCCTGAGCCCCAGCTCTCCCTCCACTCCTACTCTCCTCACTCTCCTCACCCACCTGCCCTTTGTGGACCTTGCTGCTCCCTGAACCGCAGCTACTCTTCCTCTGTTTCTCGCACAGCGCTGTTCACAGAGACGCCCCACGACATGACGGCGCGGACGGGCGAGGACGTGGAGATGGCCTGCTCCTTCCGTGGCAGTGGCTCCCCATCCTACTCGCTGGAGATCCAGTGGTGGTACGTGCGGAGTCACCGGGACTGGACTGACAAGCAGGCGTGGGCCTCGAACCAGGTGACGCTCCTGGGGAGACGCTCAAGTTGTCTGGGGAAATCTGGCCAGAGTAGGGATGTCTGTCTGCCCTTCATTCCCTCTGAGGGATGCCGGCGCCAGCTCCACAGTGGCCAGCATCTCCCTCCCTTCTTCCTCCTGGGCTGGGGGGTTATTTTGGGGAGGGGCAGGAAGCAGAGGGAGGCGGAGCTCCTGAGATGGCCACAGCCAGAAGGGCCTCCAGAGAGCAGGAAGACCCTCCTTCCGGTGCTCAGATAGGGAAACTGAGTCCAGAGGGACAGAAGCTGGCTAAAGGTCATGTGGCCTGGAGGGTCCTTGTTTCGCAAACACAAGGCTCTGTTGCTGAGCTCATTCACATGTTCATTCAGAGGCACACATGCCTACACGCACCTGTTCACGTGTGCACAGGGCTGGCGCAGATGCTGAGGCTGCCCCGCCCACACGCCCAGATGCACCAATCCCCCCCCACCAGCCCCTGTGCTGGCCTGCAAGGCAGGCAGGAGCTGGGAGTCAACCTGCAAGCGAAGCTCTCACCCGGTGACTGATGGGAGTTGGAGGATAAATACCCCAGCTCCCGCGCCCTCAGCTGGGATAACTAATGAGTGTTCCACACGTTTTCCAGAGGTGCCCAGCAGGATTAAGCTCCCGTTGCCCACAGCGGTAACTGGCTGGTTAAGTTCTCCCATTACGAACTTCTTTCTCTTTTGTGTCTCACTCACTTCTGCCTTCGTGGTGTCTCCTGGGAGCTCCTGTTTGTACTGTACTTGGTCTCAAGCTTTGCTTCTGAGGGAACACCATCAAAGACCCTTGCATTTATACATGTGTATGCACAAAGAACATGCACACATACATATCTGGCCACCCGTTCACATATGAACACATATATTTTTATGCCTTCACATACCCACGTCAGAACCTCTAACATGTACACAGTACACATCACACTGTCTTGCTCTGGGGTTATCAACGCCCCAACCCTTCACCCTGCCACACATAGGCTTAGCTCAGGGACTCCGATGGCCAGAGGAAACCCCGAGGCAGAGTTGCAGGGATGGTGGTGGGAAGCCTCCAGGTTCAGCGTGGGGGAGTGGAATGTGGGCAGGGTTTCCACAGCATCTGCCACAAACACGCTCAGGTGTGGCACCCATGGAAGTGCTAACACACTCACAGACACGAGGGTACACGTACATTTTTACCTGTTTACACATATCCATCAGAGCACCCCAAAGTATCAGTAAGTGCATAGCATGAGAAGTCTGTTTTCATGCACCTCCTTAATCTTCTTTTACTCTGAGTGGACACAGAGGGGACACACAGAGAGCTGAGAGACCCCCAACTCTATACCCCCTTGGTCCCCAAGTGTCATTTGCTACAGCTGGGGTCTGTTTTGTTTATTTTTCAAGCAGCAATCCTTCCCTTTCAGTTCTGTGGGTTTGTGCAGCGATCTAGAGCTGCCGTGTGGGGATCTGAACAGCCGATGTGGGTCCTTGTGGACTCTGCTCGTTAGTCCGGAGTTCAGCGGGGCCAGCTGATGGGAGCACCTGCATGCCTCTACTTGTTTCCTGGACTTCTCCAAGTATGGCAGCTGGTTCCAAGAAAGAGGAACCCAAGAACAAGTGTCTCAAGAGGCAGGCAGGAATCTGAAGATGCCTGACCCCTTAGAGGCCAGCCTGGGCATGGACACAGCCTCACTTCTTCCATATTCTGTTAGGTAGCAAGCATAGGAGTAACCTGGATTTTTTTTTTTTAAAGAAGTTTTTGCCTTAGGGCATGTACACTGACCAGGGAGAGAGAGAAAGAGAGAGAGACAGTGAGAGGGAAAGTGAGAAATCACCCCCCACCCCATTCTCCTCTTGGGATTTTGGGCATGCATACACACATGCCTAGTGGGAGTTTCAAGTCACCAGGTCCGGGACTCGAACCATGGCTGGCCATATAGAAGTCCAGCAACATAAGCATTATGCCATCTGCTGGCCCCGAGCAGCCTAGATGTAAAAGGAGGAGAAATAAACTCCCACTCTCAGTGTAGATAGAGTGACAAAAAATCTGTAGACTTTTTTTTTAATTGCCAGAAAGAACAGTGCTTGCTAGGGAGAGAGTGAGAGCACCTCCCCAGTGAGGTTCCTCCATTTCCCCATCCCGTCAGGATTGGGGCGTGCATACACAAACATCTAGTGTGTTTTTCAAGTCACCAGAGCTGGGGTCCAAACCACTGTTGGCCATGTGGGATCTGGTTCCCTATACACAGGCTTAACCACTGCACTTGGGGCTGGCCCTGTAGACTTTTTGTTTGTTTTTAAGAATTATTTAATTTTGGGGCCGGCAGGTGGCATGGTGGTTAAGGATTGGACTCCCACATGGCTGACCACGGTGTGGGTCCTGGACCTGGTGGCTTGCTTTCTCACTCCCCCTCCAACCTCTCTTACTCTGTCCCTCTCTGGTGAAATTAAAATAATTCAGTGAAGTTAATGTTTAATTATTAGTTTTAAAATAATTATTTTAAAACTAATAATTAAACATTAACTTCACTGAATTATTTTAATTTCACCAGAGAGGGACAGAGTAAGAGAGGTTGGAGGGGGAGTGAGAAAGCAAGCTGCCAGGTCTGGGACCCAAACCATGGTCGGCCATGTGGGAGTCCAGCACCCTTAATCATCACACTACCTGCAGGCCCCCTAAAAAAGTATTTAATTTTGGGACCAGCAGATGGAGTAATGGCTATGTCACTGGACTCCCACATAGTTGACTGTGGTTCAAGTCCCGGACCCGGTGGCTTAAACTCACGCTAGGCGAATGTGCAGTTGTGTCCAAGATCCTGAGAAGAGAATGTAGAAGGGATTGTGGCATGGCCATCCCCCCTGGGGGGTGATTTATCACTTTCTGTCTCTCTGTCTCTCTCTGTCTTTCTGGTGAGTGTATGCGCCCTATAGCAAAAACCTCTCAAAAATTATTTAATTTTATTTACTGTTATTATTACTTTAAAATTTGCTACAGGGCACATGTTTTGAGAGAGAGAGAGAGAGAAAGTGACAAAGCAAGCCACCAGGACTGGGACTCAAACTCAAACTGTGATTAGCCATGTGGGAGTTCAGCACTTCAACCTCATTGTCCCTTGTAGATTTTTTTTTTTTTTTTTTTTTTAGAGAGAGATTTTTGCTATAGGGAACATGCACTCGCCAGAGAGACCAAGAGAGACAGAAAGCAAAATATCACCCCCAATGGGGCTGGCCACACTGCAATCCCTTCTCCTTCATTCTCCTCCCAAGATTTTGGGTATGCACGCACACGTGCCTGACCTCAGTTTAAGTCACCAGATCGGGGACTTGAACCGTAATTGACTACATGGGAGTCCAGCAACGTAACCATTATGCCATCTGCTGGTCCTTGTAGACGTTTTTAATCCACACAGTAGGTAGGGAAGAGCTGGGCCATCATTATCTTACTCTGCCGTAGGCCATGAGATGGTAGAGAGAGGGCCTGCAGCTCCCTTACGTGAGTCTCTGCACCTTCTTTGCTACAGGCCGCGGATGTTCAATGAAGGCTCATTGCGTGCGCTTTCTATTTATCACTGTGTTTGATCCGCACAACAACCCTGTGAGGTGGATGTAGAAAGCGAGGCTCAGGGACTTGCTGTAGCTGGAATGCTAACTGTCCCGTGCCCTGGCCCCCTGGAGCATCTCCCCGCCCCCACCTGGTGCTAACACCTCGTCTCTGCTCTCTCCTAACAGCTAAAGGCATCTCAG